CCATGGGGCCCCTTTTAACAAGAGTTCTTCTTTACAAGAATCTCCCACCGTTTTTTTCTTTAAAAAAATTTTTTTTTTTAATTTCAGATAGAAGGAGACGAGATTAAAACCATCAGGATGACCCTTACCTGTTTGGCTCAGTGCTAGAGCGTCGGCCTGCGACTAAAGGTCCCAGTTTCGATTCCCGTCAAGGGCACATGCCCGGGTTGTTGGCTCGGTCCCCACTGGGGGGCGTGCAGGAGGTGACCGATCAATGATCATTGATGTTTCTATCTCTCTCTCCCTCTCCCTTCCGCTCTGAAATTAATAAAAAGAAAAAGAGAAAAGAACAAAAGAAACATCAATGATGAGAGAGAATCACTGATCGGCTGCCTCCTGCCTGCCCCACACTGGGGATCGAGCCCACAACCCGGACATGTGCCCTGACCGGGAATGGAACTGTGGCCTCCTGGTTCATAAGTCGATACTCAACCACTGAGCCACACCGGCCGGGCCGAGTCTCCACCACTTATAAGGGACGTCTATAAGGGATGTCTCCTCCAACTTAACCTGTGTCTCCCCATCCCCCAGGCGGACCTGAACTGGGGCCCGAGTGGTGAGGAGGTGGGCGCCGCTGGCAGCAGTGGTGGCTTCTATGGTGTTAGCAGCCAGTACGAGAGCCTGGAGCACATGACCCTCACCTGCTCCTCCAAAGTCTGCTCCTTTGGCAAGCAGGTGGTGGAGAAAGTGGAGGTGAGGCCGGAGGGGTGGCGCTCTGGGCGGGGGAGCACCCAGGCACCTGGCACTCTGGGGGTGCAGGGTAAATAAATGGACCAGGAGCCACGACAGCTCAGGCACTGGGGTTGTCTTCATGGTGGGGTGGGGGTGGCCCAGCCTCTTTGGGGGTTTAATGCACAGGCGTAGAGCTAATGTGGAGGTCTAAAGTCACATGTAAGGGTCGCTTTGAGGGTTCAAAGGTAATGTGTGGGACAGAGATGCAAAAGATTCCTGGGAATGTGGAAGAGTTCACAGGACCAGGAGGCTCAGTGGTCACAGTTGGGTTGCTGAGGACTTGCTGGGTCTCAATTTCAAAGGTTAGAGAGTTTGGGGATCTCATTGAGGGGCCTGGAGGGCTTGAGGGTACCAGGGATCAGAGGAGTTCAGAGGTCATGGAGGGTTCAGAGCACAGCTTTGAGGGGCTGGGGGTGTCTCTGGTTTGCAGGCTCAGTGATCCTGAGTTGGACACCTGAGGGTTCAGGCCTGTCTCCGGTCACTGCAGATGGGGCAGTGGGGAGGGAAGATGGCAGTGGGGGGTGGGGTGGCTGGGCTCCTGGGGTGACCCCTGTGTGTCTCAGTCACCGTCCTCCCCACTCCTCTCCACCTGGTTCAGACGGAGCGCGCCCAGCTGGAGGACGGGAGGTTCGTGTACCGCCTGCTGCGCTCGCCCATGTGCGAGTACCTGGTGAATTTCTTGCACAAGCTGCGGCAGCTGCCCGAGCGCTACATGATGAACAGCGTCCTGGAGAACTTCACCATCCTCCAGGTCAGTGGTTCTCAACCTTCTGGCCCTTTCAATACAGTTCCTCATGTGGTGACCCAACCATAAAATTATTTTCGTTGCTACTGCATAACTGTCATGTTGCTACTGTTCTGAATCGTCATGTAAATATCTGATATGCAGGATGGTCTTAGGTGACCCCTGTGAAAGGGTCGTTCGACCGCCAAAGGGGTCGCGACCCACAGGTTGAGAACCGCTGCTCCAGGTGATGCTCTGAGGCTGGGCCGTGGGGGCCCGGGTGTGGAGGGCGGGCCCACCACAGCCCCTCAGCCCCAGACCCTTCCACCTGGGGGACTGACGCATTGGGGACCCTGCAGTTGAACCGTGGCTTAGGGCCGTGGTCGGCAAACTGCGGCTCGCGAGCCACATGCGGCTCTTTGGCCCCTTGAGTGTGGCTCTTCCTAAGCCTTAGGAGTACCCTAATGAAGTTAATAACAATGTACCTACCTATATAGTTTAAGTTTAAAAAATTTGGCCCTCAAAAGAAATTTCAATCGTTGTACTGTTGATATTTGGCTCTGTTGAGTTTGCCGACCACTGGCTTAGGGGATCCCATGACCCAGGGGACTGATGGGGTGGGGACTCCACAGCATTCTCACGAGGGACCCCCCTTCCCTGGGGAACTGACCTGGAGGAGTCATGGTGGGTCCTTAGCTGAGGGGACCTTCTGTACAGGGAACCTAACCTTAGCCCAGGAAACATAATTGGGTGGGATCCCTTTGACTTTGAGGAATGTGCTGGGCTGGGGACCTTTCCCCTGGGGAGTGACGTGGGGACTTCCTTGACCCGGTAACACGTGATATACCATCTG